GAACTGCATGTCTGTCTGTCTGTCTGTATATCTCCAGCCTGCGGTGGTTTTCCTTTACCGTTTTCACTTCTGTCGTTCTTAAGCCCTAAATTCCCCCCACCCCAGCAGCATCTCCTTCAGGTTCGCCGTCACCAACCCAAACCCGTTTTCCACTCCTCCAGGTTCCCCCGCCTCTCCCCGCCTCTCCCCGCCGACCTCTGCCCCCCCTCCCCACCATTTCCCCCCGCCCCGCAGGCCTACATGTTCAATGAGTGGTACCGGCCCGACTGCTTTCTGGAGTTCCCTAGGGGCGGATCCCAGGTAGGGGCGTGTGCTAAGTCTGTTCCTGTTCCGCCGTTTCCCACCTCTTCCTGCTTCCAATGCGAAGTACCCAGTACGAACCCAACCCAACTCAAGCAATCCAACCCCAACCTCCCGCCCACAAACGCACAGGCCCTAGTCCAAGGCCTAGTGACGGGATTGGAGCGCCACGGAGGCCGGCTGATGCTGAGCAGCCACGTAGAGAGAGTCAACTTGGACAGCAAGTACGTGTGTATGTATGTGTGTTGGTTTCTATGTATGTATGTATGCATTGGATTGTGCCTCGTGTTGCGATTTTGAAAAGACGAGAAGAGGAGAGGAGAGGAAAGCAGAAATGGCTCCAGATAGCCGTCATGGCGCATGAACCATAAACACTGCTGCGGCAGTTACTGCCATTGCATTTGCTGCCGCTACTGCTGCACTTGATACTACTGCTACTGCTGCTGCTACTGCATCTGTTGATGCATCTCCTACTGCTGCTGCTATTGGTACTAATGCTAATGCTGCTGTTGATACTGCTGCTGCTCCTGGCAGGGGAGCCGCTAGCAGTGTATCGCTTCGGGGTGGGGGCACCATCAAGGCTAGGAAGGTACTTGCGGTGAAAAGATTTGGGCAGGGGCTGATCCTGCCTTCCTGTGTGTCTGTCTGTCTGTATGCGTATCTGCGCTCCGTCCCCATCGTAACCGTCTGTATACATGTACGTATGTCCTCCTTCCTCCCTCACGCCCATGTCTAAACTTCTTCCTTTGCCTCGTCCATACTCTTCCACCACTGTTGATCTTGTTTGGACCTTGTTTGGATTTGGTTTCCCTTGTGTTGCCTCCTTCCTCCCCCTCCCTTCCTCCCTTCCTTCCCTCCCCCTCCCACGGACGCCTTTCGGTCAGTTCTTTCGGTTGCCACTATCTTGCCCTGGCAGCAGCTTCAATCGCGTGTGGTTCGTCTTTCCCCTCCCTTCCTCCCCCCTTTTCACTCCCTTCCTCCCCCTCCCCCCTCCATTTTCACTCCCTTCCTCCCCCTCCCCCCTCCATTTTCACTCCCTTCCTCCCCCTCCCCCCTCCTTTTCACTCCCTTCCTCCCCCCCTTCCTCCCCCTCCCTCCTCCTTTTCACTCCCTTCCTCCCCCCTCCTTTTTCACCCCTTCTTGTACTACTAGGCGGTCATATCCAACGCCAGCGCGTGGGACACCCTCAAGCTGCTGCCTCCAGACCGACTGCCAGACCAGTGGCGCAGGAGCCGCCAGAGCACCCCCGCTTGCCCCTCCTTCATGCACCTGCACGTCGGCTTCGACGGCAAAGGTACCAGCCGCTGCTGCAACCGCAACTGCGGCCGCGGACATATGTCTGTGTGCGCGTTCTTTACAGTCAGTATACACGCAACGCCTCGTCTTCACCACATACACCAATGGGTTTTATCACAGCGTGCATCGGTGCATGGGCATGTGTGTGAGCGAAGCTTTTAGGGTTTTAGGGTTTTTTTAGGGTTTCAGCATCAGTATATGTCGTATAGAAGGAAAGGAAAATAGTCTGTCTTCATCTCCTGCTCGTTTCTTCTGTCATCACATGTTTGGTTTTTTTTATATGTTTTACCACAAACAGATTTGGATCCCGCCCTGGAGCTGCACCACATTGTGGTGAACACATGGGAGGGCGGAGTGACGGCGCCCCAGAATGTCGTACTGGTGTCCATTCCTGTGAGGGTCGATTGATGGGTGGGGGTGGGGTTGGGGGAAAGACCGGGAGAAGCGGGAAACCGCCGACTGGGTTAAGGCCCGGTGGGGGAGAGAGGCTGGAGAAAGGACAGAGGAGGGGGCTTGTATGGGGAAGCATGGGGTTGAGGGCTAACGGTTGATGCCTCGAAAAATAAATATGAAAGGGGGAAGGCCTCGGGGAGGCTGCCCTACTCCCACTGTGGCGAAGATCCTTTCTTCTGCCTCGCTGGAATGACCCGTGGGTCGGTACTCTGTTCTCCCCCTTCCCGTGCTTCCTCTCTCTCTCTCTCCCACCCAACCCACAGTCCGTGATGGATCCCGCCATGGCCCCCCCCGGTAAGCACTGCCTACACGCCTACCTGCCGGCTACCGAGCCGTACGAGCTGTGGAAGGGCCTGGACCGCAGGAGGTGTGTGGCGCATGTGGAAGGGACGGGGGTTGCGGAGGGGGGCCAGAAAGGAAAGAGGATGGGCCGAGGATAGACCTTGCGTGCATATGCTTTTTCTAAGGTGTCTGTACGGCATACGTGCGTCCACCGCTGCCGGTATCGCTGCTACTGCCGCCTCTATTGCCGAGGAGTATTCCATCATCTAAGCCTTACAAATTCCTGCCGTCATCCAAAAAAAGAGCCCGCTGCTGCTCATTTGTGTGGCTCTGATTACACTGGTCGATCTCCCTTTCCTGTACACGGGCGCTGCTGCTGCTGCTGTTGAAGTACCGCCGCTATAAGCTACTGCTGCATCAGCTGATTTTAATCCCAATCTAACATATTGATCCTAGCGTTTTGACGCCTGTTACTGACAGCCCTGAGTACGCGGCGCTCAAGGAGGAGCGCAGCCAGGTCCTCTGGGCAGGTGTGGAGAAGGTAAGAAGAGGTCTTAGTGCGGTTTTGTAAGAGCACAGAACAAGCTGTGAGAGCCGTGACTGGTTTGCGGTTTGCGGGGGTCTTGGAACGGCAATGAGTCCCCCCTCCCCCGGGTGTGCATGACTAACCCTTCTCTTCCCCTCGAGCTATGTTACTTGGCCTTGGACTGTCCCATGCCGTTTCATTCCTCTCCTCCTCCTAACATTCCTCTCCTCCTCCTAACATTCCACGCGCACCCTTTACCGCGACCTGCCCCTCTCGGGGCCCACATTTCACCCCTTTGGTGCCGTCACCCGCAGCCACTCCCACCACACCATTCCCCTCAATTCCACACAATACCGTTCCCGACCCCACTTCCCTGGCCACCGCCACCACTACCGCCACTACCACCACCACCAGGTGATCCCCGACATCCGCAAGCGTGCCGAGTTGGTGATGGTGGGCACACCGCTGACTCACGAGCGCTTCCTTCGCCGCCACCGGGGGACATATGGCCCCGCCATAGAGGCGGGCAAGGGCTTCTTCCCAGGTGAGTGAAGTGAGCAGCTGAGAAGGGGCTCTCGGCTCTCTCGAGCCTCCCAGGGCCCCTACCGCTAGCCCCGTACGTTGCCTTCCCCCGGTGCCGTGTGTCTTAGCAATGAACGGCCGTTCGCCTTGCGTTGCAAGTGGTTGGGGTGATCGGCTTCCTGGGCAGTTAGTTTGTGCCTGGAGGGTTTCGAATGAAGTTAAGGCAGTTAGGGAAGTTAAGGCAGTTAGGGAAGTTAAGGCAGTTAAGGCAGTTCTCCTCCTCCACCGAACCCCACCATCACATCCACCCCACCACCACATCCCGCACCCGCACCCCTACCGCCCCGCAGGTCCCACTACACCCATCCCCGGCCTCTACTGCTGCGGCGACTCCACCTTCCCAGGGATCGGCCTGCCTGCTGTTGCCGCCAGCGGGGCCATCTGCGCCAACACTCTGGTGCCCGTGTGGGACCACTGGAAGCTTCTGGACGAGATTGGCGTGTGATGAGCGTGTGATAAAGTGTGTGATGCGTGACGGGAAGCTAGGAGGCAACTCAGGTTTCGTAGGAAGCAGCTTGTCCGGTGGTAAGCGTGATGGGCTTAGGGTTGTAGGAGGATGGGAAGAGCGACGCCAAATATTGGCGAGTTGTTGAAGCGACGGGTTTGGACGAGGAGAGGACGAGGAGAGGAGAATGTTGAGAAGGTGGAGTGTGTGTGTATGTGTATGTGTATGTATGTGTGTGTATGTGTGTGTATGTGTGTGTATGTGTGTGCGTGTATTTGGCTTTCGGGACGGAAAGCGACGTAGAGGGCTGCACTGTTCGGTAAATGAGCGTTCGGGAAGATATGGCGTATTGGTTATGCTGGGTATGTACATGGCATTAACAATATGGTGGATGGAAGTTCTGCGAATGAAAAACTAATATTCGGGTCAGTTCATGCAAAAAGCATAATAAGCATCCTTTGGAAACACGTTATCCATGGATACTCTGTATTAGCGGTTTGGCTCAATGATTTGCTGTACTTTTGAGAGCTGTGAATGGGCAGCTAGGGTGTCTAGCTGCCCGCTGCCTAAAGGATGCATGCACAGCAGCCGCTGCTGGGAAAAGCGCTAATCCAGCCACAAAAACGCCTTCCGACAGTCTGACTGCCACTTTACAACGGCACATGGCGGGAGATAGGGCCCAGGTGAAGAGGCGGACTGTGAGGGGGACTGTATTGAGGTGCGGTTCTGTACACGCACGACAAGGCAGTTAGGTGCGGTTAGTTGAGGTTTTCCATGCACACAGATGCACGCATACGCTTCATGCATTACGTAAAACGCTGCGGCATTGGCACAGTAACCTGGCAGTCTATGTGTACTTCCTCCACAAAAATGCGTCTACTGCCGCATCGTGACCACAAACACAAACACACACGGCCCTCTAATGATGGAGTGCTTCGGCGGTTGTTCCCGTCGGGGTACGGTTAGGTGCCCCTGGCCAGCGTCAGGCCCGGATTGTTATGTAACAGATACACACACGCACGCACACACACACACAGACATACACACAGAAATACACAGGGCTAGCGAAAATGTCCGTAGAAAGTATATGCCGGCCAAAGTCGGGTTTGCTGTGGAGGGATTGTGGCGCCTGCTAATAGAGCGTGTCTGCAAAAGGTAACAACAACCGGTGTAAACCGTGTATTAATACGGAGCTGCTGCTCTGTTGAAACCTGTAAACCTGTTCCCGCCCCCAGAACGGTCGCTCGTGGGCTCGTGTTGTACCGTAACAGTGTAGATCTTTGCTCGAGTCCTCTACATAGCATGCGGTGTTTCCTTTTCTCCGTGGCCTTTTTTAGGCGTTTAGGTATTTGCCCTTGGGCCTTCGGCTCGTACGGGTAGTTGTACAGGTATGGGGTCACGCACCATCACCCATCACACACACATAGTGTTGTAGCGCGATAGCTACACAGTAATGATGAGCTTATTAAGAAATATGCGAATCAATCATGACTATGAAATCTTCTGAAAACTGACATGGCTGTCAAGAAATCGTTTGTAAGAATTCACCGGAACTGAACATCAAGAATCTGTACGACAGCCTTACCGAAATCCATAAATTTACTGAAATCGTCTTTGCTCACAGAACGGACGTGGGTTTGTTTAGAATTCATATTCTACTCACATTCGGAGCGCGGTCTTATACCGTGGTCGGGGCAGTGCCGGCCTGAGACATACTTCACGGGCCTGTAGCACTGCACTACACTACAACATCTTTTGGTGTCTCAGTAGCGCATTGCTATTAATAAATGAATATCTGAGTAGTTGGCCTAGTTTAGCGTGCCAGCCGTCTCCCTGACTGAAGGGCGGCTGACCATTGACTTCTGAGGCGGATGTTCTCCGGTCCACCTCGCACCCCGAACGAAGCCCTGTTACAAGCCCTACTTGCTGGACTTCGTCTTTCTGTTCAAGGTTGGCGGCTTTGAACGCGACTTTCTGTCGTTCCGCCATGGATCCGCCAACGATGACTGACTCTATGAATGTAGATGAAGTCGCGGTACCACCACCGAACCCACCGAACCCGCTGGACTTACCGAACCTACCGATTCAACCGACTCCAGCGAACCCGCAGCGAACCACTGAACCAACTAGGGATGCTGGCGGCTCCGCCGGTTCTTCCCGTGGCGAACACGAACTAGTGGAGTTAAAGCTACAACTAGTTCAAGCAGAAATTGAACTCGCGAAAATCAAGAACGCTGGAGCTGGCCCGTCGACCGCACCAGTTCCGGTGGTGAGTTCTGATGCTCCTAACATTACGTACCGAACCCAGATTTACGTTTCGAATTGAACCACCGCAGCCGAGCAAGAACAGCAGTCTGGAAATGTTCGCTAACGATTTCCAAGAATGGGTAGCAAAGTATTCACTGAACAACACCGATGACGCCTTGTGGCAACTGCGCCACCCTGTACGCGAGCACCCACCTGGCGCTCTCGACTGGCTCTCCGAGTACCGCACTGAATCTCATAAGGATGGTTCGAAATAATCCAGGAACGCAGTTAGCAGCTCCGGGAGACTGATCGGTTTATTAGCGTTATGAGATTTGGTGTGGTATTCGGAGAGCCAGTCGAGAGCCCCGGTGGGTGCTCGCGTACAGCGTGGTGCAGTTGCCACAAGGCGTCATCGGTGTTGTTCAGTGAATACTTTGCTACCCATTCTTGGAAATCGTTAGCGAACATTTCCAGACTGCTGTTCTTGCTCGGCTGTGGTGGTTCAATTCGAAATGTAAACCTGGGTTCGGTACGTGTAGACCCTGGCGCGAGACCATGGCATCACGGTCACCGACAAAGGGATGCCGTATAACACATCCCTAAACACTCTCATGACGGCCGCCTCCGCCGTCAACGCGCGGCAGGACACAAAGTCCGAAACCCTGCCGTACAGATGCTTGCTCCCCTTGACAGAGCTGGGCCTAGACATGCACGCGCTCATCGACAAGAACACAACACAACACCTCATCACCACCACTGATCTTCAGAAGCTTTTCCCCCAGGGCAAGGTGCAGCACCGGCACAAGATCGCCTTGAATCGACTAAGCCTAGTGATAAGTGCCCAATGCCCCCAAGCTCCACACACGAAGGCACATGACCCACGTCGCTGGTCGTCCGCGCTGCCTCTGGAAGACAGACGCCTCCGCGAGATCCCCAGTGACCCTCTGTACACCGGTCTCCGGCACAAATCAAGTCTCCCCAACCCGATACTAGCACCATCCCTCGACCCACATGTACGCCGCGACACACCTATAGTGTGGAGCACGACCATGGAGAAGCCACACCACCCCCGTGCAGAGCCAGACGACATGGAGAGTGACCCACCAGCGCCGCCGAGCCACCCTGCGGAACCAGCATGCACAGGACGGAAACGCACAAGATCCGTCCACCAGCGGCAACAGGATTTCATCAACAACAATACACGCTGTGACAACAGTAATGTGGGAACAGATAGTGCAGCTATACACGGCGTGCAACTCCGCGACCCGGCCCCGCAATGCACATCCTATATGGAAGCGAGACGCGTCATGGCAGCTCTGCGAAAAGACACCCGTAGGAGTGTGCCCAACCTAGGGAACCCCCCTGGGCCTATCGTCCAGGGACCGCGACCGCGCCCAAACCAGCAAACCCGTCGCACTCTAAGCATCGGCATGACCCCCGTGACAGGAGAAATCGGTACCCCAAACCCAGTGCTGGTGTACCTTGCAGAAAAGGGACTCGACTGTACGCCGGTAGCGCCACGTAACCCTCGCGCCGGCGCAGGCGCGGAGGCGGCAGGGGCCGGCCCGAACACCGCCGACAGGGACCACGCCGGTGATCCGCCTGCACCCGAACCGGCCGGAGTGCTACCGGGGACGCCGAAGCCACCAGAGCACCTCACCCCGCAATGGTGGAGACCTCGATGGAAAGTCGCCCGCGACCAAATACTGGAGGACAGGATACCCTGGAAGCCTGGAAAAGGCCAGGCAAAGGACACAACGGGGCAACAACAGATAGTTTATGACCTATACAACGATGTAGAGGACATCGTAGAAGTACTCGCGGGCCCTATCACAAAACGCATCGTCCCCTCAAACGTTAAACCTCCCAAGAAACAGAAAATCAGGGCCGATACGACCGCAACCCACGAACAGTACTACACAGTTCGCTGGAAAGACACTATCACCCCGATATCTATCGTCGGCGCATACGCCAGCATGGGATACGTGCCCAGACAGCTACTACCAGTGACAGGTCTTTACGGCACGCGGATCGACCGCCACTTCCGCAGAGCGGTATGGGAACCGTCAGATATCCCCGCCGCGCAACTCGGTAGGTTACCCAATGGACCAGCGGCGATGGCGAGGTACGAGCAAACGAGGTCGCAGAGTGTGAACCCCCTCTCGAGATACCCCAAACCCAAGGACAGCAATCTAACGAACCCTCAGAGGCAAGGCCGATGGAACCCGCCCCCCTCGGAGCAGACCCAGCGGGCACGCCTTATTCGAGCAAACACTACCTTTGAGACTACGCCGTGCAACCCATACACGGACACGCGCCCCACGGGAAATTATCGAATCCAGCTAGGTCTGCTAACCAGAGAGGGCGGCTCGACCGAAGGGAACACGGCCTTCATCTACGACCCGAGAGGGAAATGCGTGGGCACCCTCACCCTGCAACGCCTGGAGACCCTCAGAATGCGATACCAACACACGATCGACACTTACCCGGAGGTGCACAGAAGCCTGTCCTCCCAGGGCGGCTTCGCCGAGGACGTCGCGCGCTTTCTCCTGCGGTACGGAAAGGACCCCGACGGGCGCGAATCGAAAGGCCCGCCAAGGTCGCAGGCGACCATGAGCAGAAAACTGCGCTGCACGCTGATTGATGCCCTGCACGCCCTGGATGCTGGCCCAGTCGTCGAAAGGTTCTCATCCCCGCTCAACTGCGGTGAAGAGGTGCAATACTACTTCAGTGCCCACGCAGAAGACCAACTC